ATCTTTTATTCAAACACTTACACCATAATATGTAACTTTAGGTACCTACTCGTATAAAATAAGTATTATTAATATGTTGGGATATTAACAAACAGCACCATCTAGTTCCATGGTAAGCTACGAGACTTGTGTTGTGGATACCAGATAGTTGATACACTACACATATATAACTTTAAATACATACATATTATAAATATAAACACCTAAGACTGAAATACAAACATTCGTGCTCATCACACAAACGAATGCCCGCAGCGGGACTCAAACCCGTGACCGCTGGCACAGCAAGTAGGGTCACTACAAACTGAGCCAAACGTGTCGTCAAAATAGTTTAAAAAAAAATAGTTGGTCTGATCGCTCTTGCAATCTCCAATTTGAGGGAGGCCCACGCCCAGCACTGGGACGTTAAAAAGGGCTGGGTGAGATATATAGAAAGCCTCCAAGAAAAATAGCTGCGACACATGTATAGTCATTTAACAAGGGTTCCATGGTTTATATATGAAACGGAACCCTAAAACGCTAAGCTTAACATAAAACTTAAAAAATAATAACAGAATTGAGCACCTCTTTGGTTTAAATTATGGTTATTGAATTGTTTTTTTTTAATGTATACTTCTTTTACTATTATTGAAATGGTATTTTTTTATCTATACTGTTAAATTGGAAAAAAATAAAAATAGTTTTTACTGTGGAGTTAAATTTTAATTATTTGTTTTATAAGTTCCGACAAACTCATTAGACAGAGAAATAATATTGCAAGTACGAAATGACCGGTAAGAGGCGGCCTAGTTATATTGCACGTAGGTTAAGTAGATACGACTTTATCCGGTAGTTGGATAGCTAAAATAAACATAGTCTCATTAAAAACACAGTAAACGGGTTCGAATTCCGCGTCTTGCATATTTGTCACGTGATTACCACTTGCTAATTGATGGAGGGAAACATCGTGAGGAGATCTAAACATCTGAGAGTGTCTGACTAGTTCTAGCATTTGGTACCCTCTACAACCTCACAAACTTTACCTCTTTATAATATTAGTAGATATATGTAAGTAGATTCTAGGTACAATATATTTACTACATAAAATGTGCAGTAAAAATAAGTCAAAATAAGTCAAATGGTTTTTTTTTAAAAGGCATTCATATCTATACTAATATTAAAAATAGGAAAGATTTTTTGTTTATTTGTAATGAATAAGCTCTGAAACTACTAGACCGATATAGATGAAATTTGGTTAGAAGATAGTTTGAGATCCAGGGAAGGACCTAGGGTAGCTTTTATCTCGTAAATCATCGCTTAAGGGGGTGAAAATGGGGATGAAAGTTTGTATGGGGAATCAAGCTAGGGACGACCCGAGCGAAGCGAGTGTGACTCGCTTGTCTTATACAGTTTGTATCTCTAAACATAAAAATTAAACAAAACTTATCAATAAATTTTATTATTTACTTCGGAAAGATACTAAGCCTCAGTATTAAATATATAACTCGGGAAAGAAACTCATAGAGACCAACATCATTTTTTTTTATTTTTTTTTATTTCTTTACGCCTAAACAGAACTAGTGTACATCACTAATACTTAACCTGTACAACTATATTATCTGTGCAGTTTAAACTCTTAATTTAAAGAGTAACTCGCTTTGTCTATATTGCCTTATTTCAAGCGAGCCGTGAGCGCGCTAAATTTTAATTAGGTTTCTAGATCATGCGAAGCATTTGTAAACTTCTAACTGTATATGGAAATTCAAATGTACTTAATACGAGTATATTTTAGAACTTTCATGAAAATTACCGCGTATTAAAAATATTTTAACGTATTTGCCTGAAGAATGAAGTGAAACATGTTCACTGAGTTTGTGTATAATTCTATTACTATAATCGATCATTCTCGTTCATTATCCTTTTTTGTAATGTTGAATTTACGTAAACCACCTGCATTCATACAGGTGGTTATGTGAGACTCGCTGGCTACAGAAACCAGTACTATGCTAAACCCAACAGAACCTCCCCCGTTTAAATGGGACGTGGCAGAATCGCTTACGCACTCAACCACGACGCTCAAACGACTGGCCTGCTGAGGCAGACTGCAACAACCATGGGTTGTTCCCACAGTCTACTCTGCTATCAGAGAAGTACCAGGAGCAACCCACATGGTACACTGCCCACTCAGGTGGGCCGACTCTCAAATGCGTTTCATGACTTCACTCCCGGCTGGATTGCCGGAAGTGACTCCCACCACTACATGATGTGTGTTCACCTGAACACACATCGGATTGTGGTCTCGTCACGATCCTAACCATAAGTTTAAAAAATCTATCTTTAAGAATAATTTTGCGGATTTATTATTATTTTTGGTTCCCGGCGTTTCGAATGCTTTACAGCAATCTTGGTCGCGGGAGAGAATCTCAAAATGAATCAGCGAAATAATCCGAAAAGATAGTTTTATTTAAAATGTCAAATACTAGCGTAAATCTAAGAAAGTATTATAATAAGTTAAATCGAGAACACGTTTTTTTTTGGAAGTTGATCAAAGTTTGGAAGTTTAAGTTGTAGAATTTATAATTAAAAAATTTTAAATTGTAAGATGCTTCGGTGCCATTTCTCTATTCTTCTAAATGATGGTATAATTTTCGTGGAAATTTTTGGTGGACTCCGTATTTAACGACTATGACGTCATTAACATGTCTAAAACCTTAGTGATCTTACTTACACGTGATATTTGCTGTAATCATTCGAACAACAAAGTAAAATAATCCCGTGATAAAATCCAAAAAAAATGTGCGTATTTACGTAAATTTATAAAACATTTTAAACTTAGCAAATTCGAACTACATATAAACATAGAAATTTCGTTTAGACGAAATAAATTCTGAAAGCATTAACTTAAATTGTGTAAACGATTCATACGATTTATATTCATAAACAATAATACCGGGAATCGAATGCCGGACCTTGGGCGATGCCAAAAACGCAATACATTTGTGTTTTTGTATACGTTTTGGCGGAAACGTGTAGACTAATTGATTTTTTTGTACTATCAATATTTGTGGTAAGGGATTGGCAATAGTTCTATGAGTATATAAGTATTTGTATATTCAACTGCCTCGGAGGTGTAGTGGCTAGCATGTACGGCTGCACACTCGGAGGTCCTGGGTTCGAGTTCCGGGTCGGGCCAAGTTTAGTTATTGAGCCTTTCTGTATAGTAAGTCTCAGTTACAGCCCGGAGTTGGGAAATTGGCGGTGTTTCACCCCCGTGCCCCGGAGAGCACGTAAAGCCGTCGGTCCTGCGCCTTAACTCTTACTGGTCGTGTCGAGTGGATGTCCCACCGGAGTATGAGAGTGACAGGAATAGAGAGTGCACGTTGTGTTTGCGCGTACACATGTAAACTATAATATCTCCTGCGCAGTTGGCTTAGTCTCAATGAGATTGGCCGCCGTGGCCGGAACCGCCTAGGAGAACATCATCATCATTTGTATAGGGAAGCAACTTAGGGACGAACTCGTGCGAAACGAGGGCGAGTCGCTAGTGTTTATATATATATGCACAATTTGTCTGTTTGTTGTTGGTGTACATATCTGAGATTTCATGTCCGTGATCAGATATCCAGGCTAACATATCCGAATAAATAACATAATCTCTCTACGTACTTTTTTTTATCCAAATATATCAAACTCTTACAGACTGTTACTGCTTGTAACAAATTTACAAACACAAAAACGTTAGAATTTATAGTAAAGAGTAATAGTCCGACAAGTATAGTTTGAGTCGTATAAAATCGATGTACGAGTATGTTAAAACCGCTGTTCGCATATATTTCGTACCACGCTGCAAAAATATGTCCGAATGACATCTGACAACACCCATCCGGCGTTTGACGTTGCACTGACCAAACCTTTATTTAAAATCTATACATATAATAAAATTGTAACTAAGCCGAATCTATACATTAAATATTTATTGGAAAACCTTATTGAAATATACTTTATTATCGATATAGAGGCCGAATATATTGTTTTTAGAATTTTTGTCTGTATGTCTGTTACCGCATCACAGAAAAACTAGCTGAATATCCGGGTCAACATATAGGATACTTTTACAGCGGAAAAATATCTCATTTCTGAGAAAAAATACGAAAACTGTAATGTAAGAGTATACTAATATGTAAAACGTAAGAATTTGGTTTTTGGCCATCTCAACGCGGGCGGAGCCGCAGGCAATGCTAGTATTATATAATACTTATGTTAAATCGGAACCCAGATGTTATGACAGGCATTGGGTTTGTTGATATGGAAGATACGGAATCGATTCCTGTTCGCTAAAATATTTATATTATACTGTATTGCTTAATATAAATAAGCGTTCACATCTATACAGATAAATAAAATTGAAGTGTCTGTTTGTAATGTCAAAATAACAGCTTAATTAAATTCATATGAAATTATATACGGTACTTGTAAGGAAAACACAATTTTTAAAATGTTTTTCTGTCTGTCTGGTTGTTCCAGATAATCTCCGAAACAGCTGGACTGATTTTGACGGGACTTTCACTAGCAGATAGCTGATGTTATAAGGAGTAACTTAGGTTAATTTTTATTTTTGTAGAAAAAGAATTAGGGATCCGCTCCATACCGTAAGATTATACGTATTCAGCCCTTTTAACGTCCCACTATACAATACGAGGGGATCAGGCCATAGTCCACTACGCTGGCAACGTGCGGGTTGACCGATTTCACATGTCTTTCGAAAACGTTAGATTCGCTCAGACATGCAGGTTTCTTCACGATTATTCCTTTACCATATATATTCTATATTGCACATAAAAATTATGACATTTTGTAAATGATTCGCACATGAAAATGTCAGAAGTGCTTGAACCCGCTTCATTTTTCCAAGCGAGCGCGTTACCACTGGGCTACGATTTCCTTACTTGCTTACTACTTTTATAATATTTTAACTTTATTTGAAAATTTTATATCGATATAACAAAAACGTGGTCACTCACCGTTTTAAATCCTCTATACATGACTCTGATCTCTTGCTTAGAGAATTTCGTCTGTCTGCACAGTTCTTCCAAAGCTACTGGAATTGGCTTTGGGGTCCTGTTAGGTTCTAGCTCGTACGCGTGCTCTTCAACAGGTGAGTCCGGTGGTGTCGCCATTTTTAGATTTTCACTAACACATTTGATGTTCGGATATTAGCACATAATTGCTGCTATTTTACACTATATGGATGGTTAGAGGGCGGGAATTCTGAAACAAAAGATGTTTTATTTTAAGCAATGTACATACTAATTTTAATGGAAATATAATAATGTTCTCCTGATCGATTCTGGCCACGGCGGCCAATCTCATTGAGACTAGCTAACTGCGCAGGAGATATTATGGTGCACAAGTGTACGCGCAGACACAACGTGCACTCTCTATTCCTGTCACTCTCATACTCTGGTGGGACAACCACTCGACACGACCAGTAAGAGTTAAGGCGCAGGACCGACCGCTTTAAGTGCTCTCTGAGGCACGGGGGTGAAACACCGCCAACTTCACAACTCCGGGCTGTTACTGAGGCTTACTTATACAGAAAGACTCAATAACTAAACTTGGTCCGACCCGGGTCTCGAACCCAGGACCTCCGAGTGTGCAGCCGTACATGCTAGCCACTACACCACCGAGGCAGTGGAACTATAACTATTGTTTTAATTCATAATGTTTTGGGCTTTGGCTTAAATAGAGCTTAAACTTGGATGATTGCGAGAGCTTAATAATATCTTCCAAACTGATTTAATCTCACTGAGCTTAGCTAATAGCGCGGGAATAGAAACCACACGAATATTAAAATATATTATATATATATTTAAGTGGACCCCTAATTCTTTTTCTAAATTAAAAGTCGCTTAAATAAGTCCTTATCTTATAACATAAGCTTAAAGCTATCTGCCAGTGAAAGTCCCGTTAAAATCAGCCCAGCCGTTTCGAAGATTAGACGGAACAAACAAACAAACAGACAGACAAAAATTTAATAATTGTGTTTTTCTCATAAGTACTGTATATAATTTAATTTACATTTAGTAAAACGCTGTTATTTTGACATTACAAACAGACACTTCAATTTTATTTATCTGTATAGATGACGGTATATATTACAATGCGGATTAATGACAGATTATTCGAACCCAGATCAACATCGGTACACACAAAAGCTTTGACCGGTACAAAAAATGTACACCCGAATCTAATATCATACTTTATTGAAGTCAGTGAAAAAGCATTTTTTTTAAACTAAACCAACAGTTAAATGGCGATTTGCCAAATTCTGGACGCCAATTGAATTAGTACGCACGGACAATTGATCATGTCACCGGAACATTCCTGCTGATATGTTTATGTTCGATATAGGATTTATTATAACTAAAACCGATAATAAATCTATAAGAGGGTCTTATGTAGAATTCGTTTATTGAATACTAGCGACACACCCTCGCTTCGCTCGGGTTCGTCCCTAGCTTGATTCTTCATACAAACTTTTATCCCCATGTTCACCCCTTTAAGGAATGATTTCCAGGATAAAAATTATGTATGGATACCAGATAGTTGATACAATACACATATATAACTTTAAATACATACATTTTATAAATATAAACCCATGACTGGAATACAAACATTCGTGCTCATCACACAAATGAATGCCCCCAGCGGGACTCGAACCCGCGACCGCTGGCACAGCAAGTACTCAGGCAGTCACTACAAACTGAGCCAAACGTGTCGTCAACTTGTGTTATAATAATAAAACAATTTTTATACCAAGCAGAGGTAGGTCATATACATATGCAGTAGGGGAGTCTGGGTCAAAATCAATAATATGCATAGTTAATCACTTCGACGCCTCACCTGTGAGAACGAAACGTAGATTAAAATGAATGTTCTAACATAAATTTCTATCTATACTAATATTATAAAGAGGTAAAGTTTGTGAGTTTGTGACGTTGTAGGGGGTAATCTCTAGATCTACTGAACCGATTTAGATAAAATTTGGTAAGAAGATAGTTTCAGACCCTGGGAAGGACATAGGATACTTTTTATCACGGAAATCATTTTTTAAGGCGGTGCAAAATGGGGATAAAAGTTTGTGTGGGGAAGCAAGCTAGGGACAAACCCGAGCGATGCGAATGGGAGTCGCTAGTATCTTAGAAAATTAAAGGAGCAATTCTTGCATGTAAATATACCATATTTTACTTCGTGTATTTTGTGAACGATTTGAATCAAATTTTGCATACAGATAAGGTTATGCTTTATCTATATAGGTAGGTGTCTTTCCTGAAGAAAAAAAACGCAATTTTCATATCTTTTTCAAAAAACTCGATTAATCATAAATAATGTATACGTACATTATATGTATGTTTTTTACAAATTAAATTTTAACAATAGCCATTACTCGTATACCTAGAGATAATTAAAGGTAAAAGTATCATGGGATACATTTCATCCTCTTCGCTATCCTATTCGTATACGCTGAAACGGCTGATCGATTTAAATGAAACTCAGCAAACAGATAAACTATTTCCTGGAACACATAGGTTACTATTAACTGTCAACAAATAAATCGATTTTGATGAAAAAAAATTATAAAAATCCTTAAAAACAATAACAAAAAACCCACTCGTACAAAATTGAGACTGGTAAGAACAACAAAGTAAGCAATAAAATTTGTTTTTCATTCTAACTTCAATGTAGTAAAAACATTTTTATGTGGAAATTCCACAGCTTTTACAATTCATTTTATTTGGTGTGTTTCATCTAGATACGTATAGAAATTATGGAGTACTTAAGCAATAAACAAGTTAATAGCAATTTCTTACATGAAATCACACGAATGTTGTGCTTGCAAAAGTTTTCTGTTTATTTTTTTTCGCTATATTATTATAACGGACTAACATTGCCCGCGGCTCCGCCCGCGTTCAGATGACCAAAAATCAAATACTTAGGTTTTACGTATTTTAGTATACTCTTACATTGCAGTTTTTGTATTTTTTCTCAGAAATGAGATATTTTCCCGCGGTAAAATGTATCCTATATGTTGACCCGGATAACCAGCTGTCACCATACCGAATTTCATGAAAATCCCTCCAGTGGTTTTCCATGATGCGGTAACAGACAGACAGACAAAAATTCTAAAAACTATAGATTCGGCCTCTGTATCGAAAATAATGTGAATTTTAATTAAATTTTCCAAAAAATATTTAATGTACAGATTCGGCTTAGTTACAATTTTATTATATGTATAGATTTGAGTGTAATTCGAAATCATGATACTCGTAGCTTATCCTGTAATCATCGACGTAAGCCAAGTACTACACAAGTGGAGACAAGCGTCACTGTTAGCTAAACTATATTATCTATACTAATAATTCGAAATCAATGTAGAAAATATATTGCCAATGCAAAGCAAATCTAATATATATTTCGATACGTAAAATACATACATATATACCTATTAGATGAAAACTTCCGTTTAGTTATTTTTTACATTTTAGTGCCTAGAAGTCGTTTTTTTTTAGTTTTTATTTCCCATTTTTAGTGTAGACGTAATAAGCAGGTAATTTGTGACGTAATAAAAAGAAAATTTGATGATAACATATTCGATTAATAAATTTATTTTAAAAAAATAATGTAATGTTGATTTTTTTAAAAAACCGCTCGACCGATTTCGATGATATTTATATGGGGCCACCTGGGGCCCTTCGAAAAAAAAAAAATTCCAAATCGGTTCAGGCGTCTTCGAGTAATCGGTGAACATCATAAAAAAAGATTCCGACGAATTGAGAACCTCCTCCTTTTTAAAGAAGTCGGTTGAAAAAAATAATAAAAAAGTATTAGCTACTACTAATTCGAACAGATTTTATCGTAATTTTACTTTTCTTATCGCGATTATTATAACGAATTTGACCTCGCGTGCCGTGGTCTATGGTTTAACAAGTCATAAATAGGTACATTTAAAAGAGAAAAAAAAAGAATTACCATTTGCTGTCATAACAGGGTCATGTCTAGATTGAGATAATATTGTTAAATGTACGCTTTTTATTTATTTTTTATAATGTAATTGTTACATAAGTTACAATCAACATTCACGACATTTAAACGTATGAATTTATTTTTGCGTTTCGGTTTTTACAAAGATATTTTAGTTAGCTTAATTTTCTCCTCCTTATACGTAATACAACTAAAATAAAAAAGTTCTGTTCGTTGGTAAGCATATTACTCTAAAACAGGTTCTGCCTACTTTTTTTTTTAATTCTTCATAGTCATAATGAGGTTTTTCGAGAAAAAAAAAACAAACAAACAAATAAACAAAGAAAAATGAAGCTTATACATATGTATCTAATAACATCTGTCTGGTCAACTAGTTTGATATAAATGTCTTAATGTTTAGCAAAAGTCTTGTAAACATGGATTTAGTCACAATTTAATCATTGTATACATAAAAAATACTTTTATTAACTCTTCCTAGCAAATTTTTTTAAAATTACTTATATCAAACATGCCTTAACTCCATTTATAAGCGAGAAAGCAAACATAAATTGTTGAATCTATATTTAGCATCCATAAAACACCTAACCCGATACGCACATCATAAAAAACCTCGTAATGTCAGCTGTCATTTTGACGGATATTTACGCGCGTAAATCACTTTGTTTATAGAGAGATATAGGATTTTATTATTACAGTTTATTTTTTAGTATAATTTGATTCTTTTAATGTTGTATATGAGTATTTGGAAAAGGATTTTAGTAAAAATTTTTAATAAGTAGAAGATTTTGAACACTATAATATATAACAAAGCCTACAAAGGTTAAAAATTATAACGTACCTTTCTCAGCCTTTTTAACCCCGGACGCAAAAAAAGGGGTGTTATAAGTTTGACGTCCATATCTGTCTGTGTGTGTGTGTGTGTCTGTGGCATCGTAGCTCTCAAACGGATGGACCGATTTCGCGGTGGTTCTTAGCTATGTTTGGTTAATATCGGTCCAGCGGTGTAAGAGTATCAGCTCTTTTCCAAAATGATGTAAGGCATTTTGGCGTATGATTACTCGATTAAGTGCTTCACGCGTGCCAGTCTAATTGTTAAATGACAAATAAATTGAGTAGGGTTCTTTTTATGCTG